CCGCCAACAGCTAATAGACTTTTGCCCATTGTCACCTATTGCCCAATACTCTCTCCTCACCACCCCCCCACCCGCATCCCCCGCACCTACCTCACAGGTCCGCAGCCTGCAGGGCGGCGTGTTGGAGGGTGGCAAGCTGATCGCGAAGGGGTTCCTGCAGGGGGCCACCGGCATCATCACAAAGCCGGTGGAGGGAGCGGAGCGAGGCGGCCTCTCGGGCTTCATTGGGGGCCTTGCCAAGGTGGGGGGGGGCGCGTTGGGGGGCCGCGTTGGGGGGCCGCGTTGGGGGGCCGCGTTGGGGGGCCGTGTTGGGGGGGTTGTTGCTGGGGTTTTCTTCTGGGGATGTGTATGGAGGGAGCTGCGGACCGATGGCAGTGGAGGATACAGCGGCATGCCCAGGGCAAAACCCTGAGAACCGCACTGGCTGAGCTGCGATAAGGGAAACGTCCAACCAGGATAACGGTCAGCAGCTGTGTGGTATCTCATATTGACCAATTTGACAATGTGAAGAGGACATTCAGGTGCGTATATCATATCAACCGTTGTCTATTTTGAAGACGAAAGAATGAAGTCTCTGAATACCTGATTTAAGATTTTGTTGAAACGACGATTTGGTTGGGGATACATACATACATGCTTATATACATACATACATAATGCATATATATACGTTTTATGTATGGCAGCACCAGTAGTATCATGTGAGGCGATGCCCCCGATGTAAAGGGGGGCTCGCACAGTGTGCTGGACACCTGCTGCGAGGTGGAGCGGAAACAAAGAACTACGCACCACTCAGAGGACTTTCGATGTGAGGACGTCCGGCGCTTTCGCTCTGCGCTGCGCTCCACTCCGCTCCGCTGCGCTGCCGCCGCCGCCGCCGTTGTTGTTGTTTTTTGCTTTACACGTATGCTCCCGGTTTACGACGACACGCGACGGGGCATGCGACATACGACATGCCACATGCGGGTTTACTTACCTCCCGGGTTTATAAACCTTCATAAACCAAGCTTCCCTTCTGTCGGTATTTCACTGCTCCCCCCGGCCCCTTCCTTCCTGCTGCTGCTGCTCCCTCGGCCCCTCCTGCCGCAGGGTATTGTCGGCGCCGCCGTCAACCCTGTCAGCGGCGCCCTGGCGGCGGTGAGCAAGGTGACGGAGGGAGCGGACGCGACGCGGCGCAACATCGCGGGAGTCCTCACCGGCGCGGCGGGTGTACGGCGGGCGGGTGTGGGGCGCAAGCGCCTGCAGCGGGCGTTCACGGGTAGGGACGACACTTGCAAAGGAACGCACAGGGGGACTTAGTTGGCTTAGTTGGCTTAGACTTAGAGTTAGACTTAGACTTTGGAAAATGGTAAACAGCGGGCGCGACACATGACTAGAGGGCGGGGAGGGCGGGCGGGGGAGGGGAGTGAGGAGACCGGCGTTTCCCCCCCCGCGCGTCTGGCGGGGTCGTTAATGAGGGTATGTATGTATGTATGTAGGGGTGCGTGTGTTTCAAAATGATCTTCGGAGCCCTACGATGAGGGGGCAATTTCGATTATGGTGATAATGGTACACGAACCTAGATAGCTGTATGCGTGTGCGTGTGTGCATGTGCGTGTGTGTGTGTGTGTGCGTGTGCATGCGTGTGCCCGTATGTGTGTATGTTTGCTTGCCACGAATCGACGCACGAATCACTTGTTGCCCCCGTCTGGCTCTCTACTCGGGAGGCCCCATAACCCGCGGGTTAGCTTCCGTCTGTCACTTTCCTCCCCTCGCCTTTGCCTTCCGCCGCTGTTTCCTAATCAGGAGACAACGTGCTCCGGCCCTTCAAGCTCCACTCCGCTCTGGGTCAGGCGCTGCTGTACTCTGTGGCAGCATGGACAGGTCCCTCCAACCCAGCCAGTGGGAATGACCCACGGGTCGCTGGTGGCGGCGCCGGCGGCAGTGGCCTGCTGGGCCTGGGAGCGGCAGGTCTAGGGCTCGTGGGAGCGGCTTTGCCTGGGTCGGTTCGCGGTGGCGCCGGCGCTCGTCCAGATCTACGACAGGACCGGTACGAGCAGCATTGGATATTACCTGGGGCAGTGGTGCTGTTAATCACCGACCGGAGAGTGCTGGCTATGAGGGCGGCAGGTGAGACGAACGAAGTGCCTATGGGGCACGGGGCAGGGTGGGGGGGTGGGCGTCTGGGATAGGAGTGGGTGGAAACCCCACAGTGTTGGGGTTGGGGTTGGGGTAGTTTGGGGTACGGATGATGTGTGCATATGGAGTGGATATATATGTATATATACATATATACATATATGTGTGTGTATAATTTGTTTTATTGTTTTATACAGCCCGAATTGTCGTTCATACCACCTTTTCGTGCGCCTGGACAATGGTATGGTAAGTTCGCGCCCAGGCTTGGCTGACCCTGTCGTTCACGTTCATGCAACCAACCAACTAACAAACCACAACCGTTATTGAAACCGTCCCACCTTACGTTCACCAGCTCATATGTACCTGAGTCATTTGGGGCAGTCATGTAGGACACCCAATTTTGTGTTAAAACCAACTAACCAACTAATTAACCGACCGTTTCCCTATTCCGCAGAGTTCTGTGCGTTGCAAGAGCGCGCTCTGGCGGGCGATATCGCCCACGTCACCGACGTCCCCGTCAGCGATGCTGTCGTACTGTGGCACCTGCCCTGGCCGGAGATGCTGTCTGCGGAGCTGGCCTGGTTTGAGCGGCCGGACAGAGCTGCCGCTGAGAGTGCCGGCAGGTTCCAACAGCAACAACAACAGCAGGGGATGTACGGCGGTATGTACGGCGGCGGCGGTGGCAGCGGCGGCGGCGGTTACGTCCGTAGGTCAGCTGCAGATGGGTTGGTGTTGCACCGGAAGCACAAGTCCGAGGGCGACCGGTTGTATTACGAGGTGCATTGCACGTGAGTGGGTGCACATAAAACATGAACGGGGTTTTGGGCTTGTTGGTTTTTTGGTTTCGGGGCTGGGCAACTGCGGGCCTGTTGTGGCTCTGTCGGGGGTTTCCAATGATTTGAGCCAGAGTGTTTTGGGCCATCGGCTGTGCTGGAGCGGGATGGCAGGAGATAGAGACGAGGGAGGATACCTTCTCGACTGGGGGGGGGAGAAATTTTGGGATTGCTTTTTGGAGTTATTTTTTAGAGGTTTCTTGAGTAGTTGCCTGCCGTACCACTTAGGGGTCGTACAGACGGAGGGGTACCTGCAGGCAGGAAAGTTGTGCTTGCTTCCGTGGGAGGTCTTCGGGGGCGAGCCTGGTTACCGCCGGCCCCACCTTTTCCTTTGCTCCATATCCTTTGGAGATGGAATTGCTTTTTTTATTATAAATTGAAGGAGATATAATCGGCCATTTATCCTCCAAGAGAACTTTTACGATTTTGAATTTAATTTCCCCATCACATCCTTCTCACACTTCCCTCCGTCCCCTATTTCGGTCGTTTTGGTCAGTCCTGGCAGCGCTATGGCAGCTGAGATCCGCAACCGCCTCCAAGAGGTGCGCTACCGCTGCTACCTACTGCCGCGTCAACAGGAGAGGGGCTGGCGCGACAGCCAGCCACAGCAAATGCAACTGGCGGCGGCGGCCGCCATGGCGGCGGCCGCGGCCGCCGCCGCCGCTACCACCACCGCCGCCACCGCCGGCAGCCGCTCCGCGGCGGCGCTTCCCACGTCGTCGGCTGCGGCGGCGTCCAGCGGCTCGGTGAACCATTACCGGTCGGGGACTGGAGGGCCCGATGTCGTACTTCCCGACACGACGTTAAGTCAGGACTTCAAGCTGGTGTGGGCGGCCACGGGCAGCCGGGCGTCTGGTGGGCGGTCCATGTCGATCTGGCGACCCGTGGGTCCGCCGGGATACGTGGCGCTGGGCGATGTGGCTGTCACAGGTATGTACGTATGTATGTGCGTATGCACATGTGTGTACGTATGTATGTATCCATGCATGATATGAATAATGAGCAGGCCGGTGAGCTAAGTAAGGATTGATCAGTTAACGCCACAGCGCAATCTTCCCGCCGCATCCTGTACAAACAAAAGCATTACATGCATATCGCCAGTTAGGCCATTTAGGCCGTATAGCTAGTGTGTGCTTGGCAGTGCAGTGAGGCCCGCAGCAGCAGCAGCAGCGTTGTGCGGCGTTGTGCGGCGGCTGTCAGGGCGCTCGTCAGGGCGTGTTGCACATGAGCCGTCACGTTCGGCTCGATTGTGTTTATTGCTACTCCTACTCCTACTCCTAGACCTGCACATGTATGTACGTATGTATGTAGCTATGTACTTACTGCTACTACTTAAGCTACTGATTTCTACTGCCAGCTTTCAGTTTCCATTCCGCATAGGCCATTCCGTTTATGCCTTCCGTGCTCCGGAACCAAAAGCCATAATCCTCAACCTCACCTGTCTCAACTGAGCCCCCAAACCTCCAATTCCTGTAAAATGTCAGGCCGGGAGCCGCCACCACGACCGGTCCGACTCTACAAGGACTCCCCCGCCCTCGCCGCCGCCGCCGTCAACGCCAGCGGCAGCGGCGACGCACCCGCCTCCGAAGCCCCTCGCCTTGCCCCGCCCGCGGGCTACAGCCTGCTCTTCAGGGACAGCGCCCGGCCGCCCCTTACTCTTTGGCGACCCGAGCCGCCTCAGGGGTATGTGGAGATGGGTTGTGTGGCATGGCCCGAGATCGAGGAGCCGCCTCTGGGCCTGGTGCGGTGCCTTCGAAAGGACCTGGTGGGTCCAGGTCGGGTGTTCGACTCGCCTGTGTGGGCTGGGGGCAGTGGGGACAACCCCTACTGGAAGGTGAGTATGTGGCCGGTGGACTGCCCGGCGGGGACGTTTGTGGCGGTGCCGTTCGAGGTGTCGAAGAAACCGACACGGGTCTTTGAGGCGGTGTTCTGAGGGGTAGGGGGGTGGGGGGGGTTTGGGAGGGAGGGAGAGAGAAAGAGCTGGAGGAGGGAGGGAGGGAGGTAAGGGGAGGAGAAGTGGTGGGGTAGAACATGCGAGTATGTTGGCAGGGGGAAAATGGAGGATGTGGGAGAGACGTTTCGTCGGCTCATGTCGGCTCATGAATTCAATTGTCTGGCTTCTTCAGTGCACTCTCGGCATGCTTAGGTGTGTTGTGTTGCGTTGCGTTGTGTTTTGTTTTGCGTTGTGTTTTGTTGGATTGGATTGGATTGGATTGCGTCGAGGCGATGTTGCCGTGGTTACAGCCGTGGTTGCAGCCATGGCACTGCTTGGTTCACCCGCGTGTCGCTCTGTGCGTGTGTAAGCGAGTGTGTGTGTGTGTGTGTGCGCACGGGGGTTGCATGACGCGTGTCGGTTGCCGGCGACCTGGCTGTAGCTATGTATGTATGCATGTAAATGTATGTAGCTGGGCGGATGGGTGCACTGCGGGTGAACAACGTTACTTGCAGTTAAGTAATTGCGAAATACAGACAGATAGATAGGAATGCAGACAGAAAGACGGACAGACAGACAGACAGACAGACAGGCAGACAGACAGAGAGACGAACCGGCCTGATCATTTTTTGTTTTGGGGACTTTTGAATACATGATGAGCTGTGTTCGGTTGCTGATATGTTGGACCGGTAGCGATAGGTTAGGCGATAGGTTGGGCGGCCATCAAGGTAGGGAAGGCGACTGGGTCCCCCGCCGCCGCCGCCGCCGTCTTTGGAGGACGTCATCCGTAGTAGCTACAGCGGTCATATGAATCCTACTGCCATTCGCGATGGTGGAAGTTGAGATCTAACCACGCCGGCGATATTGTTAGGGCGAGTAATGATGGAGGCGGTGATGTGTGGAAAGGCTGCTGTGGTGTGCTTATGCAGTAATAATAATGTCTTGTGCGAAATTATGTAATTGTAGAAATAGCTGCAATGGAATGGCAAATAACCCTGTGTTCGTGTATGTGCATGTGTATGTGCACGACCGCACGTTGGAGGCGCGCTCATGGACATGGCGGTGACTAAGTTCCACACTTCTGCCGTCATTTTATTTGCGCATATGTTACAAGTTACAAGTTCCGTACACAAGTGCGGGGGTGTCCGTAAAAGCCGGGGAAGGGGGCCATGGACGGTAAATCGTTGTTAGTGCGGCTACGTGGTGGACCACCATCGCCCCCCCTCGTCCGCTTCAGCACGCAGCGCCTTAAGAGCAACGTGCCGGGTCTCCCAGACTTCCGAGAGGAACCTGGCTAGCGCCAGGGGTGGGGCCTCGGTCATAATCGTGCGCATGTTGCGCCCTTGAAACGCGAGGTCACGTTCGTATTTAGCCCGTGTACTACTTGCGTACGCGGGGCTTTCCACAAAGACATGCATTTCGTCTTCAACCGCCCCGCAATCACAGAGCCTGCAGGTGCGCGCTGTGCGCTCAGGGCCGTTAGGTCGGTTAATCGCATATGCATGGGCTGCGGCCGAGTTTGGAACCATTCAATTTCCGTACCACCACAACTCAGCTAATATTGTGCCTCATCATCCTGAAAATTAAGCAACTAAACGATGGCGCACAGCAACTGCGTGACGACCAAGTTATGCGGCTACCTTAAGACACGACAAGATCTGAACTATTACTACAGCACTAAACTCAAGATCTTCAATTATCTAGGAGTTTCGCCGCCGCAACCTGCGAGCTCATCAGGTAGACAGCAGCTGCACTAAATGCTGTCAAAGGTGACAGTGGATACAACCAACTACGAAATGCTCACAGTTCTAAAACGTACGGAATACCGCACCTCTGACATCATGTGTACTACAGCTTGCTTTTGCTTTGGAGAGGTGCTTCAGTGCCTAGCCGCAAGTTGTATAGTATCATCAAAGGATGCGAAGCTGTGCTATAGACGAGCTGTGCGGATAGGTGAGCTTTGCTATGCATGTAATAAGAACGCAAGGCACAACTTGGTTTGCCATTCGCACCTGAGACCTGCAGCGGTGGGAAGATATCTGTTACTGTGCGATGTGACAACCGCACGTCGTGTAGTTAATCCCCACTGCTAGGTTCTCGAGTCAGTTAGGGTGCATTTCCAGTGCGGAGTAAGGCCGGGGATTAACCCTCTGTCCTCCATCGATACTTGCTCAAACGGCCAAGTTGTTGGCAAACTTACCTCGCCGTTTCAACCTTTGGTTCCCTTATGGCACAAAACTATGTGGTAAGCTCGTACCAAGGACTTCCGTGCCCTAATCCCTGGCCTTAATCCGCACTGGAAATGCACCCTTATTCATAACTAAGCGCGCCACAATAAAGCGCGCCGCGACGCAGCGCGCATCGATGAAGCGTGCCACGATTTTATGTTATATATTTTACATATTTTCGCCTGCCGGCTCCTCGGGTGTTTGAGGAGTGTTGAAATGGGAGGTGGCCCCCCATCATATGGACAATGTAGGACGTGATAAAATCAACTTGCGAGCTAACCAGGAACTAAGTTGATGCGCCGTTGATCCGCTAGATTTGGTTGGATGCTGGTGGTGAGTTGCCGAACCCAACGAATACATTCTGAAGTCGGATGGGGTGACGGATTAGGGTGCCCCTCTAGCAGGGGAGAGCAGGGACTGCCCCGGGAAAGGGGGCCGCTAGCGAAGTTAACCACCCTGTAACAACATACATATTTTCAAATCGGGCGGCTCCGCTCTCCATTATTCCCCACCAGCAGTTCGCGGCCGCCGCGCGACTTGAAAATGTTTTACAACGCCCACCGATATACACATTATTATAACCGATACGAACCGATATGGAATTGAGGACCAATAATATAATAAGGCCATGCCATTCAGGGAGGAGTTGGTGAAGCAACCAGCCACCACAAAGCAAGGACGAAATGGCAGAACTTAGCCCTCAGCCAAGCCCGGGCATGCCAGCTTTGCTCTCGAATTCGGAGCTATGTTCCTTAATAATCAGGCTTCCCCACAATCGACTAGTGACCGACATAGTCAAGATTCTCCGATCCAGGAAGTTTGGATATGCTTGAACCCGCAGTCGGCTAAAATGCATACGACTACTATTTGCTCGCGTGATTGGCTAAAATATGTCATTGATGACACGCTCGGCTACGTCGCCGCCGCCGCCGCCGCCGCCGCAATTACCCCTTGATTTCTTTGTCGATATATGCCCATCAGCAGCCTTGATTGCCACCTTTCCAGTACCTTTGTACCTACCATCATTGTCAATCATGTGATACGCCATCGTCCTAACCATCAATCTCAAAACTTAGCTGTTGCATTTGCTCACGATAACATTAAAGTAAAAAATTATAGATTCCGCCGCGCCAAAACAAAGCCACCTATAGTGAAGAAGGAGGATGTTCTTGAGCGATATGGGGCAGTGATGAGCGGCGTTTGATTACTCCGGTAGCCTTGAGCGGGCTCAGAGAGGGCGGGTTACCGAGGGTTCCTAACGGGCATTACGGTAACGTGTTGTTAATCCAAAGCTTCAAGAAAGCAAACAAGACAACGTCGTCATCGCTTTTCTCCACGTATATGTACGGCAAGTGCGGGCTACGTAGCGCATCATCATCACCAGCATCACCATCGCAGACCATCGAGCCATTGACGAACGCCGGCGGCGGCGGCGGCGGCGGCGGCACGTCAATAATTTGTTATGGTCCACTTACGTAGTAGTGTATACATCGCCGCCTGCTGCATCCATCCTGCCGTACATACGTACGTACCAGAATGCTGTTTGGCTGCTGCATGTGAATTTGTATTTTGTATAACAACACATAATTGTAAGCCGCGGCACCGAGATGCGCATAATCTAGCTGCTAGATAGCTAGACGGAGGCTAGGCTACCCCCGTCCGTCATCCACAGCGTTAACACGTAACGCTAGTTCTTCAACCTACCCAACCACAGTAGCGTCGCCGGACAAGAAGCAGGATCAGCAGCTGCAGCAGCAGCAACAACAACAGCTGCTGCTGCTGCTGGGCCACTGCAAACTAAACAACGCAATTCTTCTTATATACCCTGGCGCATCTGGAAATATGCATAATATACAGTCGTCTCCACTTCTTCGTTACGTACACGGAATAAGTGCGTACGTATGTACGTATCCAAGCAAGTGATGAACCGGATTGCTCCCACATACATACGTGTGTGTGTGTGTGAAGCTGCTGGCTGCTGTTAGCTGCTGCTAACCCGGCTATTCCTGCTTAAATGCCATGCCGGGAGCGGCGGCGCTCGCCTCGAGGAAGCTGTTTCGAATCTGTTGGGCGATGTCGCCGACCCCGCTTGGCGAGTGGTTGAGGAACAAAGTGGAAGCTCTGCTGTGGCTGCCCACGTCCTGCATGTATGTATGTATGTATGTATGTATGTATGTATGTATGTATGTATGTATGTATGTATGTATGTATGTATGTATGTATGTATGTATGTATGTATGTATGTATGTATGTATGTATGTATGTATGTATGTATGTATGTACGTGTTACGTACGTATTAGGTAGATACAGACAGGTGCATACGTACATACGTACATACGTAGTGGATTTCTGTTATTATTTCGAAATAATAACGAATTCGTGCTACATGTAAAATCAGATGGAGCTATACATATGCAGCAGATATATGTATGTATATATGTATGTATAGCTGCCAACGACGTACGGTATCTTTGTCAGGAGCCGTAAAGTAAATTATGCACGCATTTATGCCAGCTATGCAAGCGCTGGCAGCCATTATATAGTACATGTGTACTACTATATATGTATATATAATACTCCTATTCATCATGATGGCCATATGTATGATGTGTGAAACAGGGGGGTCATATCTTCACCCGGCGGCCACTACCCTGCGAAACCCTGCCTTCCCCGGTATTTCGGGGCACCCTCATCTAGTCACCCTAGCCAATTTCTCAGAGTGGATAGCTCAGGTTCAGCACCCACCACCGGCATCCAACGGAATCTGCCAACGACGGCGGCTCAACTCCATTCCTGGTCAGCTCGCAGGTCAACTTTATCCCAGGTCACCACCGTCCGTCAACTAGGGGCAAAATATGCATATGTATGTATGCATGTATGTATGTATGTACGTATACGCGTGCTGTGCACCGCACATACATGCATACCTGCGGACAGCGCACACAACCCTAGCTACTGTACATCTGTACTAGATCTTGAGGTGCATATGCATGATTGCGATCCATGAACGACACGTCACTACATTCGCTCGTACACATCTATATACGACATCGATGTACCACGGACAGCCGTACCTTGAGTGTGTCGAAGTACTGGGTAATGAGCATTAGGGACAGCACCTCACGCGAGGAGACGCTCTCGACGCCGGTCTGCGTACGGCGAGTGTACGGCAACAGAACCAGCTAAGATTTGCAAGTGGGGTGGGTGCGTGTGCTGGTGCACAGTGCATATGTACGCAAGTGCAAGCGCATGAAAGTCCGTTGGTCTGTAGGTCTGTCGGCGTATGTGCAGATCTGAAGAGAAACGCATTCCATGTAGCAACAGCAGCAGTAGCAGCAGCGATAAATGCCCACCACGTATGATGATGCATGTACGGACTCCACGGTGGTCGCTTTATGATCTTAGCTAGCTCTCATCACCCCATACCCCACGTGCGTGCACGTGCGTGCACGTATGTATGTTTTATGTATGCATGTATGCATGTACTATGCACAAGCAGGTAATAACAAACGGAGACATACACATGTACATACATACATACATACTCGGGCAGTAGTGGACTTCTGGGCGCGCTTGCGCTCTTTCACCGCGCTTAATGTCCCAAGGCGGGGCTGGGACGGAGTGGGACCCCACCACCCGATCCTGTCAATCGTCGGGGGAGCACTGCGCTGCGCGGAGGCGGTGGACATCACGACCTAATGGTCAAGCGGACGCGGCGGGAGCTGGAGTTTAGGGGATAAGGGGATAGGGTGTCGAGGCGCGGAGGGGGGTTTTGAGGTGGTGGGGGTGGTAGGGAGGTCGAGAGGGAGGTTGAGGGGATAGGTTGCGAGGGGGGCGGGATCAGGGATGGGGCTTGGGGGGGTGCCGCGCAAGGGGACATGGGGGAGGGAGGGTTTATTTGCCTGGGGGAGCCGTACCGGCGGAGGGGGGGGAGACCGGGGAAAGGGCGGGGAGAGCCGGGGGGGGAGGGGAAGAGGTAGAGAGTACACCAAGAGGATGTAGGGTTGAGGAGTGGTGAGTGGAAACAGGTGGCCGTAGCGAGGGCGCGGATGAGGGGGAGGTGGGCACCCAGAAGGGGGGGCCGTACTCGAAGGTGCGCGCGTGGTGCAGGACTAGGTTCTTCAGG